TGCCTAGGTGAGTCCAGAGATCGCAGCTTCGTGGCCTTGTACCTAATCTATTGATGTTTTTAGGTTCTGTAAATTAATAATGGCGCGTATCGTTGTAGTCCGGGCGTCCACGATTCATCATCTTGTTAATGGTATATCAACAGCCCTTCTACCAACGTAAGTATGTAAAAACACTTCGACAGTTGCTGGGATTATGGCGAACCGTCTTTCAGAGAACATCTGTTAATTCGTTTTGTCCCACTGTAGTTGATAATTTCATGAAAAGTTTAGTAAGCTGAACTTGTTTGGTGCTTGTCGCTACAATATAAGGAGGCGGTGGAGTGCTGACGTCACGCCGCCCGCCCACGCCGCGGACTCGCACCAGGGCTCCCACTTACTGGCTAATTAAATATTCAAAGAGATCGCCTGCTCACTGAGATTTATCACGACCACACTACATTATAAATGCAAAAGTTTGCATGTTTGTTAATCAATTACACAAAAAATACTGAACGGAATTGAATGAAATTCCGCGGAAAGATGGTTCATAATGTGGATTAACTTACAACACAGGAAACGCTGATGTCGCACCCACGCAACGCCGCGCCGGGTATCTTCTATAATAAATATATTTAGTTTTGTCGTTTCATATTTTCATTTTACAGCAGATCTTTAAACAGATTTATAGAGTTTATGGGATTTTATTTATGTGTTCAAAGCAAAACTATTTGTGTTCGTGATTTCTATGGCCCGTAATAATATATTTTCTTACAATAAATAAGCTCATATTTTTTAACTAACTCACTCGGTACTAAAAAATAAAATAATGCTAACGACAACAAAATATGAGTAAAAATAGTTGAACTTCAAAGTTGAAGTAAATCATAAAACATTATTAATGTATCACATACACGAAACAGACACAGAATAACGCAGACATTGGCACGAATATATTGTTTATGGTCTGTTATAAATACAAAACGTAAAAACTAATATTTTTGCCAAACTATTTTTGAGATGATCGATAAATTTACCTTTTATACTTAACCGCTGTCAGTAAACTAACTAATAAATTTGACAGATTGATTATGAACCAGACGCTGTCTGTTCCCACTAGTGTTTGATCTGTTGATGTATGTAGAATTTTATAGTACTTTTATGGTATGAGGTAAATTTTGTTGTTCAGTGGAAACGGGAAAAATAGGTCGATGTTGCGTTTAACTTGTAAATTACGATCTTCTGAACTAATTTATTGGTTCACGCGGGCACCGGAGTAGGTACTGGTAATTGCTTGACCGAAACTGAACACAGAACACGTGTATATGACATTCTCAAACAAAACTATATTATTATAGTTTATGAGCAGGAACCGCAGGGCCTCGCGGTAGTTCGACGAACAAGTAACTATCTTGTAGGGATTCCGTTTGTGATAACCCTAGCTCTCGCCGGAGACTGCGCGATCTATAACTAGGCCGAGTGTGACTTTTTATAGTCTTCGGAGTGACTTCACCACTAATAACTAATGTCCCACGTACTATTATTGTTTTTAGACGTCGCATATTACTGTACTAACTAGGGCACTAGGTTTATTTCTCTATTTTGTAACAACAGATGGCCTTAGAGATGTTCCGAGCTTTTTCATGCGGTTACCAAAAATAATGGACACCTGGTGGTTACTAGCGTCCACTATCACGTGGGAAGGTCGAACTTTCAATCGTATTAAATTATTTCGCGTAATGCCACCTTTCAAACCAGATAGGACGGGGAACCGACCCGTGTAAACACATCTCCGGGGGCGGTGCGTATGTAAACACAGTAAGGATACGAAAATAGCAATAGCAGGCTGTATTCTGGTTCGGGCCGACTGACCGAGAACGATCTGCCTGTGATAAATAACGTACGTTTTATAGTACGAACTAGTAGTAGTGAAAAAAAAGATGTGTTGTGATTATTCAGATCAAAAAACATTATCAGCACAGCATACGCAAGCTAACGACCTTCCAGCCCAGAGGGTTAGAAAATTTCCATTTGAATTATAAAAGTGAAGCGGAGTGGAGCGATGTGGGGTTAATTTGGCGTCCGCCTCGCCGCCGTCCAGACTGGGACTTGTTGATACGCCGACCCCCTGCCGCCGCCGCCGCCATCGTCACGCCGACGACTCTTCCACACAATATCGACACTCTTATATTACTAAATGTAATGCCGTAAATGGGTAAATGAACTAAACAAACACACCATCGTCATAAAGTTGAAGTATTACTTTACAACCTGCTCTGCTATTCAAACTCGAACGCACTACTGCTCCGTACCAGAAACTGACAGCAATGTGAATCTGCTTACTAGGATGATGAAAGAGGTGAAACGGGAATTAGGGAATTGAGAATATGAGGATACAGGAATATAGATAGCATAGCCATCCGATTTCGGCCTCCTGCAATCATACACAGTGCCACATGCCCTATAACCTGCCTGAGCAGAAAATCCTAAGCTGTGAATGATAAAGTTTAAATAGAATGACATTAACTGATAACAGTTGTCAAATGATATCGTGTGAGGCTAAGTGCTCAAGTGCGTGGCGGAAAGTGCCGTGAAGCCATCCACACTCGGCAGGAACGTTACAGCGGTCAATATATAATTAAATATCAATTTAATTATATTTTTGCTTAACTCTCAAAAGTGTACCAAACATATCCACATGCACCTTAAATATATACCAAGCAACGTAATATCTTGTTCAAACAAATCTCAATCGTTTTATTTACAATAATTAAATATTTAAAACTATCTGCTATATATGATATGAACAGGTAAACTTGGAACCTGACTGTGTCCTCGCGAATAAAACTGGATTATCCACATTATTCGTANTTTGCTTAACTCTCAAAAGTGTACCAAACATATCCACATGCACCTTAAATATATACCAAGCAACGTAATATCTTGTTCAAACAAATCTCAATCGTTTTATTTACAATAATTAAATATTTAAAACTATCTGCTATATATGATATGAACAGGTAAACTTGGAACCTGACTGTGTCCTCGCGAATAAAACTGGATTATCCACATTATTCGTACGTTAATATTCATTTCAATTAAATTTAATTATAAAATTCCGGTTTGATCAAACGTTACGTGTTTATTTTCATGTTGTTATACATCGGAATCGACTATGATTTAGATAAAAGGTTTTTTACGGATTAAACGTCGTGAGGACGTCAGAGCTACCTTAAGTGTTTATAAGTTAAAAAAAGCTAGACTTATTTCGGAAAGATATTAATTAATAACTAATATCATAAAAAATATTTGAACCGCTGCGACTAGTTGGATGAGTTCTTCGACCCATCTGAAGCATCCAAAAATAACCTCGAAAAGAACGGCTTACTCGAATTACTGGACTCTTTGTTCATCCCTCAATAGCAGTATCTTATCCTTTTTGTCATCTTAACTTTCTGGATGAATGTGCTCTATACTACTCTGCCTATTTTTGCCGCGAAGTCGTTGCACAATTCGTTTCGAAGGTAAGACTGCCGGGTGTACTGATACTGAGACTTCAACCTTGTCACGAGATAAGCACAAAAAAACAAAACAAAAAAACTGGAGACTGTAATTTGATATTTTACTACAATCACGTAATTTAATAACTAATATAACACTAATAGGTACATATGAAATAATGAAAATGAATAATGAGACATATTTAAACTTGTTCCCTTGAAGAATGACCGCACCTTTTAATGGTCTTCTAGCCGAATGGCGCCCTGCGTGGAGTCGTGCTCTGTGCGATGCGATGCGAGCGATGTGTATATACTACGTGCAGTGAGCGTAGTGCAAAATGAACCGCGGCACTAGTGTGTTAGTGTGAGTTTTTAACGTTCTCGATAGTGTAAAAGTTAACTCAAATTTGTATGGAATTAGAACAGCGCCTCTAGCGGCAAACGTAGGCAAACGTTCTAACCCCATACAAATTGGAGTTAACTCTTACGCTATCGAGAACGTTAAAAAACGCACACTAAGCACACAATCTCGTTTCACTGCTTGGGTTGCTTATTGAAGCGGATTATTTACACAGCATCGGCTTGTGGCAAACAAACAGTACATTACTCACTGATAGATAGGCATGTAGAGAGCTAGTTTGAGTGTCAGTTTATTTTTGAACTTTATCTGCATAATAGCCTAGAATAGTCCTACACCGTCTCTTCCCCCAGGAGTCGTAAAAGGCGACTGAGGGATTCACCGGAGGCGTTCTAAGAGTATTGTATCAACGTACTGAAATCGGTAACCGGCATCTACTGGTGGTAGAGAGTATTGTCAGCTCGCACGGGTCGGTACCACTGAGTTGCTTATTTATATTGCGAAGTAGTCATATTTTGCATTGTGAAGGGCCCGCTTTCTGTAGAGCGCACCCGTTAAACACAACAATTGAGACTCCGACCTTTGGGCTCCGGTAAGCACTTAACACTAGGTGGGCCGTGAGAATGTTTACTCAAAAACGCAAAAAAATATATATTATGTTTGTTGGTTGGGTTCTGTTAGCGCATTGATATAATCGCGCCTTACGTTATTCACAATTTTTCAATAACCTACTTATTAAATATTTTCAAAGAATAGTAAAAAAGAAGGACATCGCCAGTCTTCTTAAAACCATAGCTCATTTTGAAATAGGTCGTAGAGATGACATTGAACAAGTATGTTGCGGATACAGAAGTCATGCTTGCGGTGTTCAAGTTATGAATAAACGTGGAAAACTCGAAGTGGTTTCGTCGCATCACGAGCGAGCGCACGTGAGGACACACGCGCTCTACAACACGTTTTGTTTGTGGAAGTAAACTCTTTAATATGTTAGTTTATGTACAGATTACCTCAATAGTTACGTACAGGCATATTTCAATTCATAAATGAAAGTAAAAACCGCGTACAACCGTGTGACGATATACTGGGCTCAGCGAGCACACGCTCGAACGAATTGTTTGTGAATATAATATGAATAGAATGACTCATTGATCCGTCCTGCATTCCAGCAAACTTCATTATCAACTAAAGTAGCCCAGCGCATGTCGTTTGGTCTACTGGGCAGCAAGACAGCAGCTCGCTGTGAGTTCGTGCGCATGAAGGGCCCGGGGGGCAAGGGACACGCGGAGATGGCAGTGTCGAGACCGCGGGGGGCGGGGGTCGACACCCCCACGTCTGAGCCCGGCCTGGCCGCCACAGACATGTGGGATAGTGACTGGGATGAGGACCCCGAGGAGCTGTTTGTGTATCGACATCAGGTGAGACCTACTGTAGATTTCCTTAATTTCTATAAATAAAATTAGGATGGTGATTGTAGGCCTGCAGAGGTAAGTTCTACCACACGACCTAATTCTGCCACGACGCAAGTCGTCATATGTTCCGGTTTGAAGGTTGTGTTAGTTGTTGTACAGTGCGATTCAGTCGCCGAGCTCATCTCCGGCTAGAGGCCGTTCACGATGCGAACTAGAGTTCGATGGGGCTCAACCAAAACCAACATCCAGTGGGCCGAGAGCTTGTGTCTCCGCCTAGTGACTAGTGTAATCGAATACATTCTGCCGCGTAGCGCCATCTATATGTCACATGACGAATCTATTGTATCAGATTTAAATTTAAATAGGTATGTTTTAATTGCATTTCAGCGTCGTCTGAGCGACCCCAGCGCCAACATTAACAACTTCACTCGCAGCGGGTGGCGCACCAAGGACAACCGGGACAAGAGCCGCTCCGAGAACGAGGGGCTCGACTCCATGGTCAGCGGGGTCGCGGAGGTCGAGGCCGGGGACCTCAGGGACGGTACGTGCCGCCCGCCGCCCTCCGCCGCTTGTTGGTGCTTGGCTCAGTTTGTAGCGGGGCGCGAGTTCCACTGTTGGCTCTGTTTCTTATTCCCTGAGCTTCACGTAGTTTCCACGTGTTGGCTTCTTGCATGTAGTGTGCTGGATTTTTTGTTTCTCTTCGTACCTTATTTGATTTAGCTATAATCAAACGGAATCTCATAGCACTAGTGGTGGCGCTCGGAGGAAGCCGTTCAATAAACTTGCGCACCGAATAGTACATTTGAGAATATCGACTCAAGCGTAGAGGTTGCTAGCGCCCGCTCTATAGATCTTAAACGAGTGAACGTGTGTGTCGCATGCTGCCTGGGAACGCGAACACATTCTGTGCCTCGATGATATGATAACGGGATGCTGCTGAGTTTTACAAGATTTACGTAATAGTTAACTGAAATGCGAGAACCCGATGTACTGAGGGCTCGCGCGGGCCGCCCAGAGCACACGGACTGAGGGGCCGCGGCCCTGTGTGTTGCCAGGGCGGCGCCGGCCGGCTTCCTCCGCGCGCCGGGCGTGCCAGCCGGCCATGCGCGACCTGTACCCGCGCGCGCCCCGCGACCTCTCCTCCCCCGCCTGCCTGCACACCGTGTGTCCGCGACCGCCCTCCGCCGCCCTCTGCACCGCGCCCTCCGCGCCGCGCCCCCTGCCGCCCGCCGCCGCCGCCGCCGCCCCGCGCCTGGAGCCCGGCCGGCGTGTGCGAAGGCTGCGACGAGGCCGCGCGCTGGACGACGGCGCGCTGTCTGGCGGAGCGCGGCCGGGGTGCTGCAGGACCGGGGGCGCGCCCGCCGTGCGGGGGATGGAGGAAGACGGGTGGGGCGGCGCGCCGGGGCGGGGGGGCGCGGCGGGACGCGCGCTGTACGTGACGCTTGCCGCGGGGCCGGCGGGCGGGGCGGGCGGCGGGCATGTTCCGGGCGGGGAGCGGCTGGCCGGGCGCGCCGCCACCAGCCCCGAGGACGGCACGAGCATAATACTTTTCTGGTGCGACGTTGCCCAAGAAGAACATCACGGTAGGGCGACGCGGTGCGGGACGCACCCCCCCCCACGCCGCCCCTCCCCGCCCCCCGCTCGCTTTGCGCTGCAGATTCGCTTGTCGCCCTGCTCTCTGTTAATTTTGTCCTTTTAAGTCAGCCTCTAATAATTTCTCACGGAACGATCTCGACCGGGCACGTAGCTAGATGTGACCCCTGAAACTTTCTTTGTTCTCGGCGCCATGTCCGCGCGGCACAGAGCTGGACGCCGGGCTGTACAACCCGCTGTGGGCCATGCGGGGGTTCTCGCAGACCTTCCACTTGTGGAAGGAGGGCAAGAGGCAGAGCTCCTCGCCGCTCAACGCCTTCCTGACGTACGTGACGCTGCCCTGGTGGACTATCGCCAAAGGTCAGGTCCGATTATAAAGTACCCAGGCTTTAAAAAAATGCAACCAATTCATAGTTTTATCGCTCATTGTCTGCATTTCAGATATTCTCGACCATCGCGAAGAACCGATCTTGACGTTCTAAGCAGCTCGGCCGCGACACACGAGGCCGCGGCGTGTCGTCCAACAGGAGCACGACGAGCCAGTACTCGCTCTATAACCGACAAAATCACAGGAACTTGTATGACTACCCAGTTGCAGTTTGTTTCCGTTTCTTCCAACGGACTTTCTGAATTATTCCTTAAGATATTATTTCCCAATATGCACGTCTCGTATGTTATGTTCGCGCAGTCGGGCGTGCATTGTACAAACAATATTGAGCTGTGAACGTATTTGTGATCGTGTAATGATGCTACCTCATAAATGTTGTGTGTTCATTGTACAAATGTATTGTACTGTCCGATAACAGAAGTATAACAAGGCAACAAAATACAAAAACATTGATTTGGTGAGACGGAGTGCACCGCAGTGGCTCTGCGAGTAGTTCGCGCGCCGTCGCCTAGATGGCGCTTATACCAATATTGAGAAACTAACAAAATGTGTTAAATGGTTATTGAATTAAATATACAATATTCCATGACTGATATTCTAGTCGACATCGGTGATTGTGTACACGTAAGTTGATGATATTATAATGTAACTTATTATGTAATAAATACGCTTAGAATTTTTTTGTCGTACTCGATATGGTATACCGAATAACATTTGTAAACAAAAATAAAATATGTGTTTAAAATTCAAAAGTAAATTAGAAAGAATTGTAACGAACCGCATTTGATTTGTTTAGTTTTATTTTGAAATCGTTGGAATGCATGAGGCCTCAGCAGTAACCGCATCATCTGATTTAATGAATACGTCTCGTTCTGAGTGCCCGGTACAACATTACTATTGTAGTGCAATCGATTGCAATTGTATTTAAGCTTGTGTTGTATTGTTCCCCTAAAATCCGTTATAAAGCGTGGTGTCCGCCCCGGGGGAGGGGGACTGGTTTGTGGGTGTCCGCCCAATATTGGAATACACATTCGATGTGACAATGTGTCGAGATATAAGTATGCCGAGTATCAAAACGTGACGCCATTCTAAACTTTGAAAACGTTACGTTACGGAGGTGGGCGCGTGGACTGTCCAGTTTGGATTTTGCTTAAGTTTTTAAATTCAATACATAATTTTGATTAATATTAAGAACATTTTGAAGATCTCGAAATCTCTTTAGTTTTTTTTTGTATTATGAAGAATCAAAATTTCAAAATTTTGTTGCTATTTCTACTACTTTATATTGCTACCCTTTCAGGACCAATACACCTCAGAATTATAAAATTTGCAGTCAACGTGCATATTAATTTGTATTTAAAATCTAATCCAAGTAGCCGCGACCACGCGAGCTGCGGCGGGATGAGGTGACTGTGTGATTGAATAAAGTGAATTGTAATTAACTTTATTTGGCATATAATTTTGTTATACTTTTCCAATTTCCCAACCGTTCTTATATATTAAGGAAATGCGCGGTGTGAACATGGAGCTTGTAATTAAAGATGAACTTATTCACCTGAACCGTGGTGCGGCCAAAGCACTAGTAGCCACGCTCGGGGAAGGCGCCATTGAATCATATAACATCGGTACGCGGGGTCAACGGCCTCGCACGGCGCGCTATGCCGACAGCTACCCGCACTATTTGGATTGCTGGTTCAGATAGGTAATATATGGCCATGAAATCGTCGTAGCTTTTGGATAAGACGTCCGGTGCATTCGTGTCTAGCGATGCAACCATGTTCGAATCCCGCGAAAGTATCAATTTTTCTAATGACTAATACAGACTTAACAATTGTCCACGATTGACTTCCACGGTGAAGGAATAACATCGTGTAATAAAAATAAAAACCCGAAAATTATAATTTGCGTAATTACGCAATTACGGTGAATTACGCGTAATTACGGTGGTGGGATGTTTTGTAGTCCGCACGGGTAGGTACCGCCACTCTGCCTATTTCTGCCGTAAAGCAGTAAGTAATGCGTTTTTGTTTGAAGGGCGGGGCAGCCGTTGTATTGCAAAACAGAGACCTTACAACTCGTCTCGAGGTGGGTGGCGGTATTTGCGTTGTAGATGTCTTCGGTTACCACTTAACACCAGGTGGGCCGGGAGCTCGTTCACCCATTAAATCTATTAAATAAATAAAAATGACTACTATTTGTTAACCGTTTGTGTTGAGGTAGGTTCTATTACCGGTGCGGCCCCGGGCCCCTCGCCCGTGCACTCCGCGCACAGACCATTATATATATTTATTGATATTTTTCCGTCGACGTTTCAAGTTTCAGTTTGTGATAGTCGAGTGAATGGGGCTACCTTTTGAAGAAACAAAATCTTGGCATTCATATTTGCAGTACCTGCAACAATAATATTCATTTGATTTATTTATTTGAAAAACAAATAGTATAATACATTCACATAGATTAAAGGTAGATACAACAAAATAAGTGTGCCACGTGAGCAGATAGTAAACACAAAACAAATAACTGACATGACTTAATTTTACTAAAGACAAATCTATAAACTACAGTACCTACTACAAAACTACTATTGTTATAAAAATTCTAAAATTTGCGTTTCTATATTCTTCGTCAACGTTGGAGGAGCGCGCGTCCTGTATACTCTGCTATTTAGTTTTCCTACCTATTCCAGTAACCTCGAGGGGTTATACTAGATTCACGGAATGATTAGGTGAGCTGACGGGGTTCGAACCTGGTGGCGTTTGCTAATACTAGCCCTAGCAAGAGCAGTGTTTCGCGGAATCTATCACCGGATCGGAAGTGCGTCCCACTGACAAGATCTGGCGAGAAACTCAGTGGGCTGGGTCTGTAGTTTCATTACTCGAACGATAACCGAGAAAGCTCCCCGACCTACGGACCAATGTATTGAAAATGTTTTATTTACCTTTATAGGAATCTACATTTATTATTGTTTGGTAGACCAAGCACCGGTAAGCATTTCTGATTTGGTGGACGGTACAGAACGCTGTAAATACTGTCGTGTGGCCAATAGCTGTGTATCCAAACTTTTCTTTTATTATTATTAACTGCATGGTAGAGGAACCTGTCTCAGGACTGGTCTATCGACACCGGACGAATGCACCGGGGCTATTTAGGTACATTCCGATCAAACATATCGTTATGCAAAATCATTACCTACAGTAAAAAACAAGGTTTTATTAATAACAACTAAGTATAGCCAAAATAACTATTAAATAAATGAACCTCATTAATTGATTGCATTATACAATTTTTAAAATATAAAAATTGTGCCTGTGGTGTTCGTTGGCCGTCCGATCGAGTTTTCCTTCATCTGGAGCTAATCCTGGAGGTCGACTCAGGTCACGTTTACGATAAAATGCATATCTATTGAAATTGAACCGACAAACTAAATAATTAGGTACCTACTCCGTAAGAAAAGATTCTGTGGCGGGTAGTCATCACAGAAGACATTTGTCTGTCTGAATCTCGCTTATCTACTATATTTTCAAGATAAGCTTGCATAAACGAGGTGTGATCAAAAAATAACGAGACTTCATTTTCATCCAATAATATTTATTTATTTGTGAATATCAATTTTATCGCCTTTAAAGTAGCCCCCTTTGGATACATGCACGTATGCCAGCGCTTTTTCCACTTTCACTTTCCGGTATGGCATTTAGCGGCTTCAGCTATTCTGCTTTTATCTCATCGATTTGGCAAAACGTCTTCCTTTCACGGGTTGCTTCAGCTTTGGGAATAAGAAGAAGTCACAGGGGGCATGTCCGGTGAATACGGTGGTCGCGGCATCAATACAGTGTTGTATTTGGCGAACAGCTTACGATCAGGCATTGAGGCATCAGCACCTGCATTATCGTGGTGCGTTCGCCATGATTGATTTGATAATGATATCCGCAGAACTTGATTGACATGAGCCCTATAATATACCGGCATCCTCAGCAACCTCTCTTATAGTAATTCAACGATCGCTCATGATCAGTTTTTTCACTTTCTCGACGTTATCGTCCATTACTGATGTGCTAGGATGCCCAGGACGCTCCTCATCTTAACTTCTTCTCGTCCACTTTTAAAACGGTTATACCACTCGACAACTCTTGCTTAGCTCGTAGCAGAGTCACCGAAAGCAACTTTATCCCATTTTTGTAGCAAAACTTGATGCAAATTGTCGGATACATTTTTCGAAAAGTGAAAAATGACTGACTGTAGAGTTCACTGGCAGCTGATGGCAAACTAAACATGTAAAATGGATACCAATGCACATACAGGCAAGTGCAGTAACAACAAAAATATTTTTGCCAATCTGACGAATGCAGCCCGGGTAATTTAGTCTCATTATTTTTTTATCAATCCTCTTATACCTACAAGTTCCGAACAAGAACATTCGGACTGTCGGTCTACCGAGCAATATCACCCGCTCGGTGGGAGATCTTTCCTTTGTCGTATACCCCCACCCCAAAATTCTAATGTAGCTTGCAATGTAAGACCCCCAAATACCTACACAAACTACACATACAAACGTGCCAGGTTAAATGAAAGCTTGTAAAGTAGATTAAGTTTTGCATTTTTTTCATTATAATATTGCGTTGACGTGTGGACGAGCTCACGGCTTTCGTGATATAAAGTGGGTACCGGAGCTCAGACATCAGAACGTGAATGCTTGAAACTTGAGTTCCAAATGTCCGCTGTATAACGACTGCCCTTCAAGCCGGTACACATGACACCCCCGCAACATGTATGTATATTATGCCATCTACTCGTACCTGCTGCATCTACTGCAGTAGACTAAACGTGGCTGACAAAGGCGTGAGACTGAACCCTAATACTCAATATGAATGTCTCGCTCATTCGTAATTAACACACAACAACTCCCATCTGTTTTTATGAGCTTGTGTTTTCTTCATCAAACATTCCGGTATTACTCAGAGTAGGTACACAGTTTAGTTTGTAGTTGTGTATTTTTTATTGAAAATCACGATATAACGCACTGGCTGTTTACCTAAAGATATACAAATTCGATCTTCTGGCTGAGCCTTGATCGCCCACCTGTCCTGTTGAAATTGGAAAGGCCTCCGGGCCACCAGTAATCCTTCAATCATAAAAAAAATCAATTTCGAAAGCTTGATTGCATTGTCATCTATAAGAATAGCGAACTAAGACGTTACTTTTTTAACCAACTGATGTTGTCAGTGCAATTAATCAATTCAATATATTTTTTATTGCTCTTGTAGGCAGACGGGCATACAGCCCACTTGATGGCGGGTGGTTGCCCTCGCTTCTGGCCGTCAGTAATGTCAACAGTAGCCAAGTAGTTAGCCAGTAGTTATAGATGGAAATGCATGAAAGAGATCTATACTGAAACTTAAAGAAGACGAAGAAACTGCATCTTGAGAAATGTTTGAAGCAACTTAATAGTCACTCATATCCGACAGATTGTGGAGGGAAAATTCTTGATTTAAACGATGTAATGCTCTTAAAAACCAAAATATGACGAGTAACATTTGTACATACATATTTAATTAAATTGTGCAAGACATCCGTTCTGTGCTCTACAGGAGCGAACTCAGAAATGTAATGAGAGCCCTTGAAACCCGAGCTCACTGCTTTGTACAATTCAAATCTTAACATTTTATGTTCGTTTTAATTGATCATGTTCTGAATACGGAATACCTATCATTCTTATTATTGAACTGAACACTTCTTTAGCACCGTTGTGATTTGAAATGTGATGAAGCGAAAAAGCGATCGTTAAAAAGGTAATACCTATATAAAATCCATAGGATTCAACCTGCCAGAAAATGAGTTAATACTTCTGAAGGTTGCAATCGATGTGAATTACAAATATGTTATATTTCATCAAACTGAGTTTGCGTAATTATCACAATAAATGTTCCAGTTTGAAGGATGATCTCTATACTACCTTGAGCATCGGCGATGCAGCGTGTTCTGAGTTTGCATACTTTAGCACCGTGTTCTGTCCTGAGCGCCATCTAAGTTATTATTTCAATGCAGGTAAAATTTTGACTGTCAATATGCTAAATCAAAAATGGCGACGACGTTCATGTCAAGAGCACCTTTAACATCGGAAGAATTTTATCAAAGTAAGAGGATAATAATAAAATAATTAGTCGACGAAAAATGACTTCCACGAATTCGTCTGTAGATGATTGTCTTTTTTAAGGCCCCGGTCTCTAGGTACTGTGGTTTTAAATTAATAATTGTCGTCGTGGCCTAAAGGACTATGCATCGGTCAACACGAATGCATCGGACGTCTTATGCTTTAGGCCACGACGACTTAATAAAATTATTTAAGTTGGTACTCTATGTTTTTTTTAAGATTCGTATTTTTGTGTCAATAAAACCGTGTTTAAATCGTCTCGGCCTACAGCATAAGATGCCCGGTGCAGTCGTATCAAGCGATGCAAGGGTGATCGAGTCCCGCAGGGGGGTACCAATTTTTAATGAAATACGTACGATTGATTTCCACGGTAAAGGAATAACATCGTGTAATAAAAATCAAACGCGGAAAATTATAATTTGCGTAATTACTGGTGGTATGTTTTGTAAGTCCGCACGGGTAGGTACCACCACTCTGCCTATTTCTGCCGTGTAGCATAATGCTTTCGGCTTGAAGGGTGGGGCAATCGTTGTACTGTAAAACTGAGACCTTAGAACTCGTATCTCAAGGTGGGTGGCAGCATTTACTTTGTAGATGTCTATGAGCTCCGGTAACCATTTAACTTCACGTCGGCTGTGAGCACGTTCATCTACCTAAGCAATAAACAAAAAATTAGGGATCCGAAAAAATGGATGTTTATACATATAATAATAGACACAACTACCAGTGAAAATTAAACCTTACCACTCCGTGATTCGCTTAGTAGCTCCGTAGGCTCCGCTGCAGAGAAATGGTTCTAGCACGATCACACTTAAGATGATACGGAATCATCGGCGTTGGCAATTGTTATTAGGCGATACAATATTTTAAATAATCTGTTTTTCACTTACGAAGTAAACCCACAATGAACGTGGAATATTGCTTACAAAGATATCACACCATGGTTAATTACAAAATTTAAAATTTATCTTCCATTTACAAGAAGAAAGTGCATAATAATATGTATAAAATAAATAAAAAACATTCATAAACATGTGTAATTTTTCTCACTTAAAATAAGACTATTTCTCATTCGTTTCGCTGTGGTCCCGCTGTGGGTCATAAATTCGGAATGATAAAATACAAATCTGGGCCCCGTTGGAGCTGGTGGGCGGCGCCTGGCATGCGGCACACGCTCCGGAAGCCGCCACTTGGGTAGCTCAGCGCGCTGTCCGCGGCTCATTACCGCATCAGTCGCGAGGTGGAGGTGAGTGGACTTTATCTATCTCATACATTATATCACACGAGCAGAGTTTTAATGTTCCGTGTCTAAACTTTCACAAAAGGTATAAAAGTATTTTTTATTGTTCGTTACTGCCTGAAAATAAAAATGAATAGAAAAGTGTTCGCTGATCGATCGTCATAAAAGTGTCAATTATTCAAACATTACTTAATTCCACAAATATAAATTACATATACATAATTCAGTTCTTAAAAAGGCAGGAGTTTTCATTTAAAGGTAAAAGTAAAAAAAAACATAAGAATAATCCTAGGAAGTCGTTTCACATTAAAATCTTATATACTTAACCAATAACATTACTGTTTTCTGTCTTTCCATACGATCGAATTACGTTAATGAATAATGCGCCTTGTTTGTAATATACAACATCGGGGTTAAACAATACAATTCAAACTTCACCCAAAATGTTCAAGTCTTGAAGAAGCGGCTTTACCGGTGTCGTAATGTACATGAGTTCCGATTATCGCTTAATGTCAAATGGGCCGTAAAACCGATTACCCATGTAATTTAACAAAAAAATATTTTACTTGCCCGTGGCCTACCTATTGATATTACTGAAGTCATGAAGATATTCCAAAGCGCGACGCTTGTGCCTGTAGGTACCTACATGCTCTAATTAAGTTGTGGACATAACGTGATCAAGGACATCGTATTATCAATTGAAACTCTTAAATTTTCCTTTGTTAGTTGAATATCATCTTACCACTAAATCGATTTCACTAAAAAGATCGCGGGTCTGTCCTAACTTAACTTACCCCGAGAAAACATAAGTAAGATAATTTTTTTGTAGAGCTTAGCAGCTGCATAGTACATATTATATTCAGTAATTACACAATTGATTCTTTTAGAATAATTTCGATCATACCTACTTAGAACTGCCTTGAAATCAGCCTTTTGCCGCCTTTTGTCTTGATCGTATGCCAGGAAAACAACTATTGTTTAATTCTCAGTAGAAATTGAGTTAATCTGTCGTTAATATAATTATATACCTACTAGTAAATTATAACATAGTTAGGTAGTTTTTTCTTTTAGAAGGACACTTGGTTCGGAAGTATAAATATGTAATATGTTTTATATTGAATAAATAGTCTTTATTTTTAATTCAATTGTCTCTCGGAAAACTCGCCATTTCATCGGGCTGTGAGAGTCGCAGCCATAATTAATACTATATTAGGATTAAATCTTGCATTTCATATTTACATTTTATTATTTACTTTAAAATTTTCGTAGTCACCAATGACTGAAATAGTAATATATTTCCTAAGAGCACGTGATCCAAGTATTATAATATAATACAACACTAGATATTTACTGTACGTACGAGTTCATTGAACAAGCCACATAATTGTTCATTGTTCACTCCAGTAGCAGGATTGTCAAGACAATATAATTGCCTTAGTGACATGCCGGGGATACGGCGCCGCGGCGGGGTGTTTATGTTCCGCCGTAGCCTTGACCGAGGGCTGTGACGTCATCGCCAGACGATCCCTCGAATTTGTTAGCTAATAACGATTCCGAAAACTAGACCACAGCGCGGCGGGTGCCTGATATTGTACAATATACACTGTATTACAGTATATGTACTTGTATTATTGAAATGTCTTTTGTTGTATATTGCATATTGTTGCGTTTGTGTAGGTTCTGTCTGTATTTTTATTTGTGTTCGACGAGTAACTGTCAGCTTGCACTATAAGCCGGAGTCGTATGGTGGCCTCACAGATATGTCTGAGCGGCGCCGTCAGAACCCACCCGTGTCGACCAAGAGACGTTCTACCTCAAGCTAAGCAGTTTAAGTTACAATTAAAGTTTGCCGCACATGTATACAAATAGTACCGGCGGTGTTAAGTGAGTAGGTAGACTTGCCGTAAGGACCACTAGCGTGATAGAGAAGAAAAAACTGCAAACTTATTTTCTCAGAGAAAAGCGCAAAGAGTTAATGCGTGCTCGTGGCTACATAAACGGATCGCGCTATTGGCGGTCAGCAACAATAATGTACACCAATAGGCTTACTTAAAATTTGCGTAATCAATGTTTACTTAATGTAATATAGCAAACTTATTTAGAGCAGTCGCTTGACCCCCGACATTTGACCTCTTATCAAGTCGTTCTCACGAGTTTGATAAATAACTATATTCTGCGTACTCTACTCTCGACTGTAGGCGGTGGTGGTGACGTGGTGAGTAACATTTGAACTACACGAAAATTTAATATTGGTACTTAATTAGAAATAATTAAGGAAAAATAAAATTCATAACAAATCAAATGATGGTTTATGCCGCTAGATGCAAACCAAAAGACTTTTTAAACGATATAATGAACTGCGCAGGTAGCGTTTCTCTTTGGTCGCAGATATGTACATTTAAATATGAAATGAGCTACATGTTTAATAAAAAAATGTCGTATTGAAGAGTCAATTAGAACCTAAAGTGTATTGTGATAAAATTAACTGTTTTTTTACATGTTGCTTTGTTTACGCAGGGGCTAGTACGTCTTAAGCCCAAATAAAATGGGCAATCTGAAAATTTTAATGTGGCTAGGCCTAGTGTCCGCGGCACTGGCTTGCGAGCTAAATCCAGGTCCTGGAGTAGGTTCAAAGTCACCTGGAGACAATCACTACAGGCTGATTGTTAACGGAGAAGTTGAGCGATATGCGCCGGATCAGAGATATGTCGGTGAGTTCTATCTGGAAGTTTCTTGGATACGTTTTGTTGCCATTTGTACAGCTGAACTCGATCACTAAATGAGTCAACATAATAGTATAGTATAGTAGTGATCATAACCTACAGACCAAACGTTTTTTTTAAATGCCATAAAGAGGTACTTCACGCCTCTATTGTTACAAAGTGGCTGCTGTAGCCAATCGACGACATCACGTAAATACATTAATAATATTGTCATTAATTATAATTATATAATTAATCACAATTTTTCTTTTTGGTTACATATTTATGATATATAACTATTATACAAATAGGAATCTCTTTGGCTTTCGCGAGTCCTAGACACTGTTGAAACTATTTTTATGGTTTAATCTCGCTTTTATTATTTTCATAAATTTTTTTTCGACGTTTCAAACACTTTACTGTTTCCGTGAGCGCGGACCAGTCATCCATCGTATAAATAGCGTTAAAAATGTACAAAATATGATACAATCGCGCTTGAACTGACTTTAAACGATAAGGCCTCTGTGTGACGGTGTCAAGTACTGAAAACACGGAAATCAATATTTAAGAGATACATCATTAAATTACGCGCCGAATGTTTTGCATGTTCCACTGTCTTGCAGCATTTATTGCAGCACCGAGATAACGCCGAATTTGCTCGCTCTAATTATTTGTCACTGATAACTGCGGTCTGTCCAAAACGAACGAAAATAATTTAATGTGTCGTAAAATTTAAAGTTTGCACCAAAATTGAAATTGCCCGTTCTAAGCAATGATCAAATATATTTTTACAATATAAATTGTTGCGACCGCTTGTAAAGTATTAGAAATGTTTATAACTACAAAGACCAATAATGCTTAATAATAATAAAAAGTAAAAGTAATCGGTAAAGTTGACACGACTCGCGTGGACCGTTGAAACACGTGGTAAGCCGGTCATCTTTAATTGTTATTACTTATATCTGGATAGCTTTTTGTTTAAGGACATGTCCTATCACATATCATTACTACTATATTAAAATATTTAAACGTGAAATAAACATTTTTGTTTTTCCGAAAACCACGATAATACTTCCTAGAATGCAATCATTCTGGGAATACCAACTGGATGATAATAAACTGAATGATAATTATTGAAACAATTTACTTGTTGATACAATGCAACTGTTGCTCTTACAAAATGAAATTATTTTCAGTAAATTTTGAGTCTTCTCTAATCATAGTTTACAGACCCCACGCAATGATTGGAATCGAAGATTACCTATTTAGTAAATGCTTTTTTTAGTGACTCTGGTCGGTTCCCGCACTCATGACGTAGTACAACAGTTTGCGGGCTTCAAAATAATCCTTGATCCTTTGAACCCGGACACAAGGAGGGCGCCCAGCAAACAGGGACAGTTCCAGCTCTTCGCCGATACTTTAACTAAGTTCGACGAAGAATGTACGAACTCCGTTGTCGAGGCTGACGATCTGCCCAAAACTGAAGTCCAGGTCATGTGGAAAGCGCCACCGGCTGGTTCAGGATGCGTGCTTTTGAAGTAAGATAGTCATTTAAAAGTGATTTGATACTATATGGGCTATTAAAGTCCAGCATTTCCAAAACTCGTTATTAACACATTGTTCAGCATAGATATGTATTTCAATAAATATTGTATTTTGTTGAAACGAGATAGGTGCATGCGAATAAAATAGTCACTGATGAACTTAGCGAGCTATCATTGAATATATCGCATCATATAATTTAAGTTAAGGGTGGTGGTATCTACTGGTGCGGACTCCCATGACACCCTATTATCAGTAGCGGAAAATTAATACTTACTCGGCCTTGAAAAGTACAGAGTTCAGAAGACAATATTCTATAGAATGAAGTGGTCAGGTATCGTGTAGCTGGTACCTAAAGCTTAAACCTTTAAGCTTTAAGACATGAAACGCGGAGTCACTGAGAGAGCTCAACTTACAAATTAAATACAAAATACATATATTTCCTTTTTAAATTAGCTAAATTGAATTTGTATTTTCGATCATTTTAGTTTATCGTCGTTGTCAAACCAAAATCGACTATGCGCACTTTTTGAGATTTTTACTCTTTGACCTTTTCATATAGTTCACAGCCCTATCTACCGTATAAAAGACCTGTTATATGTCTATAGCTTTAATATTTATCTATAGCTTTCATTTGATTATAGTTTTTAAAAATTCACCTTCATATAAAATTTCATGCGAAAATGTTCTTACTCGTTAATTCAAAATAGAGCTTTTGCACATAGCAGATTTTGGTTTGACAGCGACGTTATGTTAGTTTCAGTGCAATCTCGCTTATTCCAGGGCGATGGTGTATGAAAATGCGAGTCGTTGGTTCGCTGAAGACGGTCAGTTGACCAAACGAATCTGCGAGGACACGTCTCTGTCCATCCCCGACTGCTGCGCCTGCGACGACGCTAAATATAGGGTCAGTTGAATAGGCAGGCGATAGAGCATCATTTGATGCGCCGCCCGCCGGCTGTGATCCCTCACATTCTCTATTACAACTTCAGCAATAAGTTTTCAAAACAGTAATCCGGACATGTTCAAGGTGACAACTCGAATCGTCAATCGTGTAATAAAAATGAAACCCGCAAAAATTATAATTTGCGTAACTACTGGTGGTAGGACCTCTTGTAAGTCAACGCGGCAGGCGTACCACCACCCTGCCTAATTTCTGCCGTGAAGAAGTAATGCGTTTCGGTTTGAAGTGTGGGGGCAGCCGTTGTAACTATACTTGAGACCTTATAACTTAAATCTCAAAGTGGGTGGCGCATTTTCGTCGTGGATGTCTCTGGGCTCCAGTAACCACTTAACACCAGATGGGCTGTGAGCTCGTCCATTCATCTAAGCAATAAAAAAAAGAAATCATGTAATTTCTATGAACATTAGATGGTGTTCGAGGGGCTCTGGTCTCCGCAGACACATCCAAAGAACTTCCCGACCCAAGCTCTGTGGTTAACTCACTTCTCTGACGTCATCGGAGCCACTCATCCTAAGAACTTCACTTTCTGGGGCGAAGGACAGCTCGCTTCAGACGGATTTAGGTAGGATATAATTTCTTTCAGTCAGTTGTGTGCAAGAATAGCTTGTTTTTAGACGTCCACAAGTGTATCGGAGCGGATTTGCTTTTAATAAAACAGCTTTCGCTTACAATTTGGGCTCACGGGATGTGGACTTGCCAAAACAACGCACTACAATATTATTGCGAATCTATTTTAGATCTCTGGCGGAATGGGGTTCAGTAGGTCTGATGGAGCGTGAACTTCGTCAACACGGAGGTCTGCTCCGGTCCATCGTCAAAGCCCAGGGTCTGTGGCATCCGAGGGTCAATTCCAATACTTCTGCTGCCTTCACCGTTGACAAGAAGAGGCATTACCTCTCTCTTGCTTCTATGTTTGGTAAGTTTGAAGTTTAATTATTATTAGTAAAGCTCCAATAAATTTGTTCTATGTAAGTTGATCTATGTTTAGACACAAATACGATGATAAGTGAATAAATTCCCGCTGTGATATCTTCGGCAACCATTTACCGTTAGATGACTCCTGACAAACCGAGTCATCACTAAATACAATTACTTTATAAACCAGGTCCATCTCCTGACTGGGTGGTGGGAGTGAGTGGACTGGACCTCTGCCAGAAAGATTGCTCCTGGGTTGAATCTAAGATTATCGACTTGTATCCTTACGACGCTGGCACAGACAATGGCGTCTCTTACATGGTAGGTTTATACTTTAGTTCATTACATTAAGATTACTTAATCGCTTTATAACAATTATGATTTAAAAAAAAAATATGATGCTAGCCTACCACGACTCTGTAATGTTCAATTTTGATTAACAATGAGGGTTTCAATGTAAGGAACACTTGATCCTAAACAGGGATCATTGTTCTCATTGTTCTAATATTATCTCCGGCTTCCGTCAGTTTCGCAAAAATTAAAAATAAGTGCATTTGTTTTTAAGCCGTTTATTTCTTCCAGTCAAACAAACATTTAATAATGTGGAAATCTTTGATTTAGATCCGACGACTTTATTATAATTAACCATTAGTGTTTTTTGTTAGGTTAATTGTCTCTTACAATATCTAATCGTAAGGGCTTCAGTAACCACTCATTAGGTGGGCCGTGACCTCGCCTGCACGCTCAGAGTAATAAGAAAACAATAAATGTCTCACTTAAGCACCCGTGAGTACGTTTGACGATATGTACAGATAAAACTAATGCAATGAAAATGAAGGTCACGATGATCGTAGGTCGTGGTATCTAGTGTTGGCTGGCAGACGGGTATTCGTTAAATCTTGAATGATTCAGTAAAAAAACTTTTTTCTGCGGCTTCGTGGTAGTTCGTTGTACATCAGTGCAGAGCAGTCATGCGTGTCCAAGACTATTGTAAACTTAAATGAATAAATAACTTTGATGTTGCGCTGCACAGATACTGTTAAGTTACGTGGAGGTAATAGTCTAAGAAAATATTTCGAAAATATCCCTTACAACAATTACTCCATGGTTATTATATTTTTAGTCGCCCAATTCTGAGACCGTACCCCGGGAAAGGATGTACCGCATCACCCCCATGTTCCCTGAGGACCCTCGTGCTCCGTTCTACGACCCCGACTCCAAGACGATGGCTCCGATGGCCAGACTCTACCTCACCAGAGAAAAATTAATTTCCAAATCTTGTGACGAGGAAACTCTTTTAGCTCTCGTCGCTGAAGAGGAAGAGAACACGCAGACGGTCGATAAACGTGAGTAACTTGTGCTTGCCCTCGCCACTGACTGCTGATTCTGCGAAAGCGGCGCTCGTCCAGTAGGGGACCTTCGCCTCTCTTCTTAGAAAGGGAACAAAACAATCATATGACCATCTTTCCCGGATATCTCTTGTATGACAATTACGGAAAAATGTACGCGTGTTCTGAGTTTTGGTTTCAAAGACCGACATGGACGGCATCGAGAATAGCTGCCGAGGGATTAGTAATGAGAAATAGAGGGATTAGTAATGAGATATAATGTAGTCATGTGACGGTGGCATAGAGCGGGTGGTTATAGGCAGCACAGAGCCGTACGCGGTGAAGATAATTGGGTTATATTTTAAAGCAGAAGTAGACGTCTGCAGGCTATCGGCCAGTCCCAATATCGGATCCTCGATCGGGAGATCGGTTCAATCGGAGATCGAAAACGATCTCCCGATCGATCTCCAATCTGCGTCCCAATAACAACGGATAGCAACAATCGATCGATTTTCAAAATGGATCGCCGATCGATCTATTTTGTGAAGTTCCCTCCCGTGCGTTCCATTTCAAGCAGATATAATTATGACTATGTTGTAAACCTATTAATGGATTTAAGAAAATATGCATACTTTAGGGTTTTGACGTACTAATGAATTATTTATTTGTTACGTATTATATGAATAAAACACGTGTTTTAACATTTTCCAAGCAAATTATCATAAACCTACTCAAGTTTTGGTAGCGGAGCGTAATCATAATCTGAGAAACGAATCGTCTCTCAGTGTCATTTGACATCAGATTCAGTCAGTTTAAAATTGAAGATTTTGTTCGTGGTTTGTTGCTACAAGTAAATAATTATCAAAATATTGAATTATTAACTTAGTGAAGTGAAGTGAAATACCATGGAAAGTGTAAGTGCAATGGTATGTATACTATTATTAAGTATTTAGCGTGTTCTTACTTTCTATATTTATATTCAACAAACCCCCGCTGTGAAGACGCTTCGTTTCGCGCCTAATTTGTGTAAACACTTTACATAGGTAGTAATTTCTTATTATTTCCAGGTATCAAGCAAGCCTCTCACAAAGGACGAGTCAAAAATACTGCTTTCGTTTATTGAAAGTAGTAAAATTATTTATAATAAACGAACAAATGCGACTAATAACAAACTAAAAAATGAGGAGTGGAAACGCATAAGCGACCATTTCAATGCTGTGGTGACCACATCCTACCGGACACCACAGCAGTTGCGTTTAAAATGGGAAAATCTCAAAAAGAATTCCCGTAAACGCAATACACAAATACGTATGAATAACATAAAGGTTAGTATATTTATTTATTTTAACTACAAGGGATACACAGTGAACTTAACATTTGACAAGCTTAACATGATTCTCTGGTTTGCCATCATCAAACCCTTATTTCCTTTTCACAGGACCACCTTTGACATATCTTCTTTCCAATAAAAAAAGAATCATCATAATATAATTGGTTCATAAACAAACACAGTTATTGTACACTATACACAACTATTTACCATACTAATCAATATGTGTGATTAACTACATAATATATATCATTGCAGTACAATATAATAGAATAGAATAGGATAACTCTTTATGGCATATTAAATATGTTCTCTGTAGAACATATTTAATTAATATCCAATCCTGTAATTAAAATTTTATCTTTCTCTTTTTTAGACTGGTGGTGGTGGTCCTTCCTACATCCCCCCTGATGATGTGTTGGACAGGGTGGCTGCATTATTAGGAAGTACTGTAGATGGGTTCACAGTAGCATATGGTGGTGATGCTGAACTAATACCATGTGCCGGCAGTAGTAATGGTGGTGGTGATGAACATGGTTTGGAGGGTGTTATAGATAATGTAATTGATAATGGTGCTGAGGTGTTGGAGTGTAACAGTGGTGTTGAGGTGTTGAAAGAGTGTGTGGTCGAAGACACAGGGCCTTGTTCAGTCACACCACCTAACCCCAAATTTTTACACACTCCCAAAGCCAGCGGTAAATTATTTTGTTAAGTTATTTATATTTTCACTTTGCATAATATTATTGTTGCCAAAGTGGGGTAGTTTATTAAGTACAAAAGTTATTACTTAAAATAAGAATTTCTCTTTCTTTACAATTACAAGTTGTAAATTTTCTACTTTTCATAAAATTGAATAAATTTCCAGAAGCTGGTGGCCTAGTTTATTTGCTAGCAATTATAGGTAGAAGAAAGATTTTAGAGTTTATTGTGGACTGATAGACAGAAAATGCATGCGGAGAGTTTATTCTGAAGGTTAAGTCTCAGCGATAATTACTAATTTTATTTACTTTAATTCTTACAGGTTTCAAAAGAAAATCAAAATTTGATGAGCACCGGGCATCCAGAAACCAGGCA